AAATGCAAATCGAAACCACGTTAAGATGCCACCTCACACCTGTTAGAATGTTCATCACCAAGAAGACAAGAGATAACAAGTGTTGACAAGCATGTGGAAAACAAGAGACCCTTTTGCTCTGTTGGTAGAAATGTAAACTGGCTCAGCATGGTTTCTCAATAAATTAAAAGTACAATTACCATATGATCTAGCAATTCCATTTCTGGGTATATAGCCAAAGGAAATAAAGACAGGATTTTGAGGAGACATCTGCGCTCCCATGTTTTTTCAGCCCTATTCACAATAGCCAAGACATGGAAACAACCTGTGTCCATCAATGGATGAATGGATGAAGAAGATATGAACACACACACACACACACACACACACACACACACACACACACACACCCCACACACACACTGGCATATTATTGAGCCACGAGAAAGAAGGAAATCCTGTCATTTGCGACAACATGGATGGAACTTGAGGACACAATGCTTTAGTGAGATAAACCAGACAGGGAAAAACAAATATTGCATATTACTTATATATGGAATCTAAACATGCTGAACTCATAAAAATGGAGAGTGGGCTGGAGGTTACCAAGGGAGAAACTGGGGAGGCACTGTTAAAGGGCGTACATTTGCAACCAGAAGATGAGTGACCGCAGGTCTAACGCACAGCACACCAACGACAGTCAACGATATTGTATTATATACTTCAAAACTGCTGAGACTAGATCTCAAATGTTCTCATGACAGAAAATTAATTTGTGACGTGACAGATGTTGGCTAAAGCTAAGGTGGTAACCATATAGCAATATATACATGCATCAAATCAACGCGCTGTACGCCTTCCTCACAGGATGTTGTACATAAATTATATCTCGATAATGAAGAAAAAGGACAAGTGGAGACTTACAGACAATGAGCAGAGTGAGGGGGTAGTCAGTGGATGGAAAATTACTAAGAGGAGAAAACAAGGGTAGGGGAATCTTGCTCAACTAGCCTAAAAGGATCTCCCTAAAGGCAGGCCAAAGTTTACACATCAAAGGCAGGGGATTAAGAACTTAATCAGCTATCAAGGGTGATAAGATACCAAGGGCAGGAGATTGACTTATCAGGATTCTTTGCTAAGACAGGCTTAGGCAGGCAGAGGACAGAGTCCAAGGATGAGGGCCAAACACAGGGTTACGAGAAGCCTGTCTAATATTTGGTCAAGCTCAGAGTCTCTGTCATGTAAGACTTGTACACTGAAAACTACAAATCATTGTTGGAAAAAAACTTAAAGAAGACCTAAGTAAATGAAAAGGCATCACATGTTCACGGGAGCAGAAGTTTAATATTGTTAAACTGGACGTACTCTCCTAATTAATCTACAGATTCAACAGGATCCCTAGCAAAATCCCAGCTACTCTGTTTGCAGAAACTGACAAGCTCACCTTAAAATTCTTATGGAAATGACAGGTACTCAGAATAGCCAAAGCAATCTTAAAAAAGAGGGACGAAGGTGGAAGACTCATACTTCCTGATTTTAAAACTAACTACAAATCCACAGTAATCATGATGGTATGGTACTGGCATAAGGAGAGACATATAGATTAAATGACACAGAACTGAGAGTCCAGATAAACCCACAGGTCTATGGATAACTGATTTTTGATAAGGATAAGGATGCTAAGACCATTCAACAGGAAAAGAAAAGTCTTTTTAACAAATGGTGTTGGGACAACTGGATATGCACATTTGAGAAAATTCAGTTGGACCCCTTCTTACTTTACACACAAACATTAACTCAAAATAGATCACAGACCAAATGTAAGAGCTAAAACTATAAAACTCTTAGAAGAAAACAGAAGACTAAATCTTTGTGCCATTGGCTTAGGCAATGGTCTCTTAAATATGACACCCAAAGGACAAGCAACAAAAGAAAAATAATAAATTGGACTTGATCACAATGAAAACTTTTTTGTTTCAAAGATCACTATCAAAAAAAGTGAAATAACCACCCATAAAATGAGAGAAAATTTTTGCAAATCATGTCTCATAAGGGTGCAGTATTCAGAGTACACAAAGAACTCTTATGGCTCAACAAAGAGACAAGCTACTTTAAAAATGACATGGATTTTGAAGACATTTCCCCAAAGATGTGCAATGGGCCATTAGCACATGATGGAAATCATTAGCAATCAGGGAAATGCAAATCAAAACCACAGTAAGTACCATTTCACACGTACTAAATTGGCTATAATAAAGACGGATAATAAATTTTGGCAAGGATGTGAAGAAACTGGAACCCTCACACAATGCTGTTGGGAACGTGAAGAAACTGGAACCCTCACACAATGCTGTTGGGAACGTACAATGGTGAGTCTGGCCTTACTCAAAACATTAAACATGGAGTTCCCGTGTGACCCAGCAATTCTACTCCTAAGTACACACCCAAGAGAACTGGAAACATATGCTTACACAAAAACTCATACACTAAGGGTTGCGGGAGCATTATTCATAACCAAAAAGTGGAAACCACCAACGTGCCCATCAACTAATAGATGGATGAATAAAAACGTATCAATACAATGGAATATTATTCAGCCGTAACAAGGAATGAAGTACTGATACATGCTACAACACGAACCTCAAAATCATTACGCTAAGTGAAAGAAGCCAAGATATAAAAGGCCACTTATGTATGATTCCATTTCTATGAAATTTCCAGAACAGGCAAATCTATAGAGACAGAAAAGAAGTTAATTGTTACTTAGGTCTGGAGGCTGAGGGAAAAAGAAGAGTGACTGTAAGTGGGTACAGGATTTCTTTTGGGGGTGACCAAGATGTTCTAAAATTGAGGTGATGGTCGCACAACTCTGTGACCATAAGAAACACCACTGGACTGTATACTTTAAGCGGGCGAACTGTATGGTATGTGAACTGTGTCTCAATAAAGCTGTTAAAAAATCAAAGGGAGATGGTTAGAAATGTTTTTGTTACATTTTTAATTTGCTGCTTCTGTTACTCTAAAAATAAGTAAGTCGTTTAAAAGGAGTTGATTAAAAAAGGTTCGTTTTCTGAAAACATTTTGCATCTGCAATAAATAATATTGTAGTAGTTGGCTGCTTCCACTTTCAGGCAAAAGAAATGCATCTGGTGACCAAAAAAAAAAAAAAAAAAAGGAAAAAGAAAATGCATCGTGACAAAAAAAAAAAAAAAAAAAAAGGAAAAAGAAATATTAGCAGTTTTTTTCAGTAGGTTTGCTTGTCTGCATCTAGACGTATAATTAAACTAAAATCGATAAAAGAAAATCACTTCAAATAGCCAAGACACGTACATATCAAGAACTTCAAAAGTCTTTCTGCCCTTTGCTTATCAATCCCATTCTTGGGAATTAATCTTAAGAAAATAAGAAAAACGTTAACAGGCACAAAAACATTTATAACAGAACTGTTATCATAACACAAACTTCTAAGTCAGCGCTAAGAGTGTTTGCTGCTGCTTTAACTCAGTCTCTAAGAACACTGTTCAGTCCAACTGACATTTTCATAGTAAGATGCTCTCGATGGAGCAGGGACTTATATTTTGAAGCAAGCTCCTTATCTGGTTGTGAAACAGCACTCTGAGCACCACTGCTCTAGAGAATCGGCATCCAAAGTAAGAACATGATTGGTAACCTGTGATATAACTTAATGCAATACTGTATGAGCATAAAGCAGACTAATGAGAGCTAATAATCATTCTGCCCTTCCTATGTGTCAGACACCACACAGGGCTTCATGTACATTACCTCTTCATTCTGGTAACCTGAGGTTCTATTAACTTCCTTTTGCAGATTAGGAAAGAAAGCTCAGAGAGGTTAGAGGATTAACCAAAGGCTAACCGCAAGTAGGAATTGAAATCAAGACTCGATCTCAGGCATGTATGATTCCAGATCTTGATTAATCTATTATACTTCTTCCACAAAACTGAATATAAACTATGATTGCGACAACGTAGCCAAGTAGGTAAAAATTTAAAGAAAAAGGATATGAATCTTTAGGATGGTGAGACCTAGACTACAGTTTTAAAAATGTCTTTTCATAATCTATACCTGTTCTAATAAATATAAAAATAATTCCAATAGGAAATCCAAGATTGTAAGTAAATGGACATTTATGAAACTTGACAATGTCTCAGTTAGCTATCTTATAAAGCAATTATATAGTCATTTTTGTTCAATTTTATAAAAGTTATTGTCTGTGATATTCACTCCCCTTAATAGAGTGGTTCTCAAACCTAAGTGTGCACTAGAATCCCCCAGAGGGCTTGTGAAAACACAGATTGCTAGGCCCAACTCCCGGAGTTTCTGGTTCAGTAGGTCTGAGCTGGGGCCTGAAAACGTGCATTTCTAACAGGATGCCAGAGATGCTGCTGCTGCTGGCACAGGAACTCCAGTGTGAGAACCAGTCCTTTTCAAAAAGCTGGCATCGCCGTAAATCTAAATACCATCGAACAATCAATTAAAAGATAAACTTGATGCACTTATCTGAATTATTTTAATGTGCTAAACAGGTTTTTGAGAAAACACAGGCTGACCAAATTTATATCACAGTTCATATTTTTGAAGACTATAATCGTTTTTTGGTCCAATTCTGTCTTTCGATCAAGAGCTACAATTTTTCTAAGGAAGACAACTAGTTATACCTTAAGCGTCTACTGATAGTATCAGCTACCTTGGTATCTCCGGCCAAAACTGAGTAAATTATGCTAAGTTGCTGAGCTGTTGTGTGGGACTCAGAAATCAGTCTTGCTAAGCAAACTGACGAATTTAGAATGAAGAACAGTCATAAGTACTAAAAAGAAAGCATTTGCGCAGTAGGCAGTATCGTAGATAAGTAATCTCTGTATCTCAGTTGACAATTAGCTTTCAGTAGTAAGAATAAGAAAGTTCTGTTGCAGCCTCTCCAGGATAATTTGACCCCAGTCGAGTAATCCGTCACCATTCTGGCCCAGACGCATGTGGACTATGCCATGAAACATACGTACCTATGTTTCTGACCATGATTCCTTTCAGTTCATCCACTTGGGCTTGAGTCTCCATCACTTTGTCTAGGCCCTTATTCTCAGAATGATGCTTCTATAAGAAAATAAGATTAAACTTATGGTACCCAGCGTTTATTTACAATGGCAAAATGAAAAGAAGAGGAATTGAGGAATGCTATAAAATTATCTCTGTTGATGTAAAAGACGTACGTCACGTCATTCAATTGTTACCAGACCTAGGAAAAATATAAGCAGCATAAAAAATGCTACCATATAAGATATAACTGCTACAGTATAAAAATACAAAATGATTTTAAATTAAATAAAGCGAAATGTATTATAACATATCAAATATACATCTGAGGCTCTTGGAGCAGAAGTAGGGGGTTCTATAGTCTGTGCTCAGACAAGAAAGGAAGGAAGGAAAGACTGGAGTCGGGGCAGGGGGGACAGGACAGAGAAAGGGCATCCTAAATTGTTCCCCACTTCTTGGGTATGATGAGGTAGGAAATGGCCCAGCTTCTGAGCATCTGCTCCTGTATCTGTTGGGATCAGAGTCTGCATCCTATTTTCATCTGCTTTTTATAGGATCTACAAATGTAAGACACCGATGACAGTATATATGTTGACGTTATTATCGGTAGCTAACAATTATGGAATGCTTAATACACAGTATTCCGGTCATTTCTCTGTGCCAAATGCTTCGACGTCGAAGGTATTACTTAATCCACCCCAAAACTCTATGATGAAGACGCTATTATCATTATCTCCATTTACAAATAAGGAAACTGGCACAGGTTTATTCGGGGGGTCACACACAGAACTGGAGCTAATGACGAATCGGGAAGTATAAAACAAACTGGCTGATTGAATAATAAAGATTTATAACTATTTAAAGGAACTGCATCCCCAGAGGAATGCATGTTCAGAAGTTGAATGCTCAAAAATAGTATTAAAAAGAACACTTACAGGAAGACGTGAAACGAAAAGTTGTCAATTAAAATAAGTCTTTTCTCATGCACGACACAATCATAGACAGAACTTACGCCTTTGCACTTCAATGGTTTCATGGATAAAGGGTAAGCATTTTTAAAGTTCTCAACACCATTAGTCATCGGGGAAATGTAAATTAAAACCACAAAGAGATATCACTACACACCCACTAGGATGACTAAAATTAAAAACACAGACCATAACAAGCATTGACAAGGATGCAGAAACATGGAAACTGCTGGTGGGAAAGTAAATGGTACGACTACTTTGGAAAAAAATTTGATGATTATCAAATTAAACAATACTCACCATATGGCCCAGCAATTCCATTCCTAGGTATTTACCAAAGATCATAACAGCTTTATTCGTGATGGCTGAAAACTGGAAGCAACTCAGATATCCAGCAACTGGTAGATGGATAAACCAGTTGTGGTATGTGCATAGGATACTACTAGGCGCTTCATGGATAAATATCAAGTGGCTTCAGTGAGTGAAGACACAAAAGAGGACATCATGTATGATTCCATGTATGGGAAATTCCAGAAAAGACCACACTCACTTAAAGTGACAGAAAACAGAGCAGTGGTTGCCTGAGGCAGAGTGTGGGGGGACAGGAATGACTGCAAAGGGACATGAGGGAACCTCGAGCGTCACGGAGATGTTTTCTACCTTAGAAAGGGTGGTATTTCACAGGTGTATATGTACGTAAAACTTCACTGAGCCCAAACAGGTATTCGTACAGGTAAACAGACTTTCGAATGACTATTCTGCTCAAAAATGAAATGTGCGTCATGGGACAGTAGAAGGTCAGTGATGAGGTTAAGAGGCCACTGTGCACGTTAGGTGGGTAGTCTAAATAGATGATCTTCAACATCCTTTCCAACCCTGAGATACTCTGACCACAATGAAGAGTGAACATCGCCAATTATTAGCTTTCTCCCTTAAAATGGCCCCTTTAAATTTTTTTGATCAGGGAAATGTCATTATGTTGGCATACGACAGCACAATCGGAAAACTTCTGCTTGTCAGGGTCCCCTACGTTCACGGTGCTTTAAGGTAATAAAGAAGATGTGAGTCCAAGTACTATATACTGAGATATATCTTACCAGCTGTGCGGCCAAGACACTTGAGAACTCACTGTTCATGGCATATGGGAGTGCTGTCTGTGCCCTTGAACCATACGTGGTCTGGAATCTCTTCTTGATCTCATTCAGAAAATTAAAGGCTCTGGAACGTTCAAAATCCTGAAGAGAGATCAACACAGAGTTTGCGTGATAAAGTAAACTAAAGATGAGATGGGTGATTAACAGCAACCTTAAGAAAGCTAACATTTACTGAGCGATGATTCCACGAGGGGGTACGGCCCTGACCTCACCTTATAGATAAGGAAACAAAGGCTCTGGAAGGGTAACTGACCTGCTGAAGGTCAGACAACTAGTAAATGACAGAGCTTAGAGTCCAATCCCGATGCTTTTGATTACTGCTAACTGAAGATAACAGAATTGAGGTTAGCTTTTTGAGAGCAGGAATCGGGTTTTATTTCCTCCATTTCTTTCAGGCTCTATCAGACAGCCTAGCATAAGATGGTTAATAAATCCATAATAATAGTACTGTCTTTCATACACAAACATAACACTATTGACACAAACTTTGATTTTTTTTAACAGTGGTGATACATTTGAAAAGATCAAGTGATGTATGTACTCTTGACTAAACACACACTTGCCTAAAAACACACTTACACACAAATTACAGCTCGAGAAAATATTAGACTCAACGCTGACCATCCCAAATTCAGTGACATTTATTTCTCATCTACTGCAAGCCCATTCACACTGGTAACTTCAGATATAGCTGGATTTTTAAAAGCACTTTTAGAAAATACTGTGAAACCGGGAATAAAAATCACTGTGATGATCGCTGTGGTTGAAACTCATCTCCACTTCACACAGGGTGCGGAGTCTAAGCCGAGGGCTCTTAAACTGGGGTCAATGGTCCGAATTCCAGGGGCCCACGGACTTGGACGGAAAAAACAAACTATGTTGTCATTTTCAGCAGTCTTTAACTTATATTTCAATTGAGAATGTAGGTAACAAACCAGAGTAGGTAAGTATTAGATGGTATCTGTGACTCTGTCACCAATAGAAAATTTTTTTTCGTATACCATCAGTTATAGACATCTTGAAATATTGTTTATACTCATCACCACTTCAAAATTAGTTATAAGACCCATGACTAGATCTTGTCATTTAATGAATTAACAATGAAGCATATACACTACTATATTAATTGTTTAAATACTCTGAATACTGTCTTTCAATATACTTGGTTTTGTTTATAGTCATGTACTTTACTTCATCTTTAATAACATTCTGGGAGGGGCCCATGAATGTCAAATGGGTCTGTGACACAATAAAGGTTGAGATCTCTGACCTACGGCAATCACACCAACCCCATTCCTGTCAGTGATCAATTTATAAACAAGTATGTAACCGAGCCCTAGTCAATAAGACATGAAAGAAAGTCCGCTTTGAAAGCAGGGGGAAGCGAGGGGAGGCTTTTCCTACAATGAGAGACTCAAGAAGGCATAGTCCCTCTTCTCCGGACATGAATAAGCATGTGTCTCCATCCGATTGTAAGGGGAATGTGTCTGGGAAGAAGCTGACGCTAAGGATAGCAGAGGGGAAAAGAACCTCGATGACACTGTTATTGAGCATTTTGAGGCTAGAACCTACAAATACTGGAAAACCAACCTACACATGTGAACTATGGGTTTATGAAGCTGATCATAACGTATTGAGATTCTGTTTTCGCAAAGTTCATATGCCTTAAAAAATTCACTTAGCATCCACTGGATGAATGAAATAATTTAATATTTCAGATGACTAAATTGTGACAGGACCTGATACCAAAGGGTCATAATTATGAACTCCAATTCTCACTACACAATAGGATAAATGGAGGAGTTGCAGGAGGTTAAGCTAAAACGCTAGTAAAACCGAGCTGGTTTGCACGTACCCAGATTATCAACTGGTCATTTGCTGCTCTATGTGATCAATGCAAAGTTTAGGAAAAAAATGTCCAGCTACAAACAGTTATATCCATGTCACCTTTACCCACCAGAGATATAGATAAGAACTGACTCTATTAACAACACACATAGATAGCAACGTGTCTTCCACTTACATCATCAGTGATACAAAGGTACACGATCCTGTCTTGGCAGATGTAATGAAACAAATAGCTGCAGAATAAAAAATATAAAAGTTACTGTGGTTATAAGCAATATCTGTTTCACTTCTATCTTCCTTCTGTGCATAAGCAAATTCGGTACTGCTAATGTGACCATGTTATTTATAGCTGCTGTTTATTTTCCCTCCGCTTCCCCTATACGTACCTGTTTCTCTCACATAAAACCGATAGGAACAAACAGGAAATTAAAAGAAGGTCTCTACCCTAGCTACACAGCACAGCAGTATGCACATTACCCACTAAAGTGACAGCTGCAAAAGCATAATTGGACTCTTAAGGCCTGAACAAGAGATGACATCTTAGGAGGGACATGTAATTAAGATTAACCCCCGATGAGCCATATGTTATTCCTCGCCTTCTCCCAAGATCTCAAAGCAAGCACTTTTTTCTTCCTACCAAGTACTCAACAATAACATTTGTTTGGTATCTGTTTCGAGGCAGTTGCTGGGCTGGGTGCTGAGGATACGAACAGGAAAGTGACCAGTCCCTGCCTGCACAGGGATCACAGTACAGGGCATTACGGGGCAGCCTGTAGATGCGGGGTTAAAGGCACTGCATGGTGGTCGGAGGACACGGAAGAGGTACCTAACAGACTTTGCTGAAGTATAACAGGAGAGATATCCTGGAGCAGGTGATATCTAAACTGAGATCTGAGACCTGAAGAGACAAGGTGAAGAGCGAGAGAAGAGGTTTGCAGAGTGAGAGACCGCAAGCGCGAGGGCCTGGAACACATAATGGGTTTAGGAAAGTAAAATCGGTTCACGTGACTAGAATAGAGACTAGAAGGAAAAAATAAATTGGCTGGTCAGATGAGGCTGGAGAATTAAGCAAAGGCCGGGTTATAAAAGACTTTAAAACCTCTCTATGCATTATCCTAAGAACAGCTAACGAGCATCAAAGGGATTTCATCTGGGGAATGTGATCGGGTTTGCACTATAAAAGGATGCTTTGGCCAGAGTGCGGAGTGAGGACCAGACAGGAGACCCTCCGGCACTCGAGCACGTAAGCAACAATGAGGGAAATAAGCTATGGTACTGCGGGTGGGGAAGAAGAAGGGACGGAGAAGAAACAGAACAGAGCTTGATGACTGGCTATTGGGGGCAAGGCACAGGGGGAACTCCACGTTGCCTCCCACATTTCTACCTGGGGCAAATGCAGAGACAGGAGCCCCTGCTGAATTAGATGATTACTGTTTACGGAGAGGCCGGGCATGAATTACAAGGAGGTCAGGGACCTCAGGCAGAATGTCCTCCTCCGCTCCTCCGAAGCCGTTCACATCGATGCCACCAACGACTTCCACATTGCCACATCCAGGGGCTCTCTCTGAAATGTTTCACAGTGCTGACCACTTCCTTCTGGAAAATACCCTCTCTCCCTTGTACCACTTGACACCGGGCTTGCCTGGTCCACGTGGCAGTCTCTCCTCTGCTGACGCTGTCCAGCAGCCTCGGCCCCCTGCTTTTTTCATACACACCCCCTAGACGGTGGCATCCGCTTTCATGTTCTGTTGTTCGTTTTCGGCTACCGCAATTAGGATGGCGATTCCTAAATCTAGGCCTGACATAAGTCCTCAGCTCCAGGCCTGCACGTGCTACTGACAACCAGACAAACCACAGACCGCTTA